CTTTTTTGTGTGGGAGCAGCAGAAACAAATAAAAGCGATTCTGGTTTTGATCACCAAAAGAGAGTAAGAGTGTATGTCTCTCCCAGTGAGCTTTCTAGAACATTCTATCTCCCCAACATCTCTTTGGCAAAACACCATTTAGCGGAATACAAAACAGTGTTTCAACTTTTTGAAGACAATGGAAAGTTCAATGTGGCACTAAACTGAAGTTCTTTAGCGGTGTGCTAGTTGTGCTAGCGGGATGCGGGTGGCACTGTGGGTTAAACCACAGAGCCTAGGACTTGCCGATCAGAAGGTCGGCGGTTTAAATCCCCGCAACGGAGTGAGCTCCCGCTGCTCGGTCCCAGCTCCTGCCCACCTAGCAGTTCGAAAGCACGTCAAAGTGCAAGTAGATAAATAGGTACCGCTCCGGTGGAGAGGTAAACGGCATTTCCGTGCACTGCTCTGGTTCGCCAGAAGCAGCTTAGTCATGCTGGTCACGTGACTCGGAAGTTGTACGCCAGCTCCCTCGGCCAATAAAGCAAGATGAGCACTGCAACCCCAGAGTCGGCCATGACTGGACCTAATGGTCAGGGGCTCCTTTACCTTTTCAGTTGCGCTAGCAGAATGGCTTGCGCAAGAAAAGGCACAGCAAGCCAGCACGGTTTTTGTCTTCTTGTTCAGCGATCTGGTGTCACCCCAATACCCCCATTTGAACAACAAACTTCCTACTGGTGCAACTGTTGCACTGGATTTTTAGACTGCAAACCGCCCTGTGATTCTCAGATGAAGGGCGCTATATAAATTTAATAAGTAACAAAAAATAGTAATGATTTCATATTGTTACCCCATTAGCCCAACAAGCCTTTTGCTGGCAGTCAAGGAACGTTGACTCCAGACCATAATATCCTGAACCATGTGCTAAGATCTATAAATGAGACAATGAATTAAGGTTCCAGGATCTTTGACACAAGATGGCTCTTAGCCCGTAATCTGTTACCTGGTCCATTTAATTGAACATGCCAAGGCTTGAACCTGGGACAAATTTCCGTGCCAAACGGAGGCTCTGGCACCAAGCGACTGGTGCAACTCCACTCTGGTCAGAACACATTCAGGCTCTACCACCCCAGAGGACCAAATGTGCCCCCCACAGGTCTTGCTTTGTGGCCCTTGGGACTCTGAAAAGGCCACACCCTCCCTTTGTGCCCTACGTGAATGTCTTTGCCTGGCTCAAATGGGTCGTCCAACAGCAGATATGCCTTGTCCTTCTCTGCTTGGGATGCCGGAAGAAACTTCAGTTGTAGACATCTATTGCCCCGTCCATCCTTGCCTCTGGCCCCAAACACCTTTGGCAAGAGACCCCTGGAGGGTTCCCCACAAGGAATCACAGAATTGTAGTGCAACCTAGTCAACTCCCCCCCCCCCCATGCAGGAATCTCAGCTCAAACATCCATGACAGACGGTCATCCAACCTCTGCTTAAAAACCTTCAAGTAGAGTCCACCACGTCCCCAGGGAGACTGCTCCACTGTCAAACAGCTCTTACTGTCAGAAAGTTCTTCCCAATGTTGAGTCGGAATCTCCTTTCTTGTTACTTGAAGCCACTGGTTGGGTTCCTTCCTTCTGAGCCGCAGGCTTTCATAGCAAAAGCTGGGTATTTTTAGGGGTGCTTCATAACAAGGGAGGGTGGGAAAAGGAGGATGGCATAAAGAGGGACGGAGGCTGGCACAAAAAAAAAGTTGCAAATGACAGTGGTACCTCGGTTTTTGAACACCTCTGTTGATGAACATTTTGGTTTGCAAACGCCATAAACCCGGAAGTAAATGCATCGATTTTTGAACACGCCTTGGAAGTCGAACATGCCACGATGAGCCATGCTTCTGTATTGAGTTTTCAGTTTTCGAACGTTTCATAACTCAAATGGTCTTCCAGAATGGATTACGTTCAAAAACAGAGATGCCACTGTATACATATAGTGCCCATCAATTGTTCTCTCAGAGCAGTTTTCAAAAAGAGTAAATGCGATACAAAAACCACTTAAGCAAAAATAAAAAAATAAAGTCTCAAGACCAGCACTGAACAGTCAGCAGAATTAAAACTGCAGCTCAGAAACAAACAAAAAGGTCTTCATAACAATTAAGGGCAACAGCAGGTAAAGATTTCTGGGGATAATGTTCCACCAACTGGGATGTCATCAAGAAGGCCCATTCTGTCAGAGTCATCTCCTTTACCTCAAATGGTGAGACACTCACCAGGAACCCTCGATTGCAAATTGCAATAGATAGTGAGATGCACACAGGCAGGACAATACTGAAGATCTCACATGTGCATTTATGTTTACATTACCAAATGCCTCAAAACCTGAGAGGTTTGCACTCCCAGGCAATGCTTCGTTACTTCACAAAACGTCAAAGCAGTCTGCTCCATTCTTTCATTGGTGAAGTGATCCTTGACTTGGGTACCGTTTCTGACGTTTCACGCCAAAACTTACCTTTCTGTAAGGTCTGGATCAGCGTTAGAAGCTCAGATATATTAGCTTGGTGCCAAAAGGCTCCTTAAACCAAAGGTTACAGCTGCCAAAATGGAATGTCTACTTGCCATTTGGGGGCAAGGTGGCTTCAAAGTCTTATTTTTCAAATGATGGACTGACTGTGGTTGATTATCAGTTAAACATCTGGCGAGTTCAGATGATCACATTGAGCTAGGTCAAATGCTTTGAGAACTTAAAGAAGAAAAGTCACCTGCTCAAGGGGCAGTCCACATATATACTGGTCTGTTCCGACCTCTTTTTCTTAATGGTGACTGCTCTTGATCAGGCGACACAGGAAAAAGCATTTTGGTTCCAGAAATTCATTCAGATTGTAGAGATAAAATACCCGTATTTTTCGCTCTATAAGACGCACCAGACCACAAAACGCACCTAGTTTTTGGAGGAGGGAAAACAAGAAAAAAAATATTCTGAATCTCAGAAGCCAGAACAGCAAGAGGGATCGCTGCGCAGTGAAAGCAGCGATTCCTCTTGCTGTTCTGGCTTCTGGGATAGCTGCGCAGCCTGCATTCGCTCCATAAGACGCACACACACATTTCCCCTTACTTTTTAGGAGGGAAAAAGTAAGTCTTATAGAGCAAAAAATATGGTAACCCATAGAATTCTACAGGATGGGGTATTAGTGTGTGAAAACAGTCCACATCCAATGGTCCGCAGGTGTGCACCTCCAGATGGTGGAGATGTCGGGCACTATCCTGGCACCCAGGCACCTTCACTTGGTCGCAATTCAGGTACAAAATGCACCTAACTAATTTTGATCACTGGTCATGATGAAGGGAGCCAAGGCACTGACAGAGCACCATTTACTCAGTCTCCTTTTGCAGAGAATTTGGTTTTCGAGTCCTCTCGCCCCCTGCTTTCTTCCTGGACTCAATTTATACCTGTAAATTGTGGCCTGGCTGTCTTTTATTACTCAATACCTGGAAGGCCACAAGCTCCACATCCCCCTGCAACAAGGGTGAGGCCAAGGAAAAGGTTACAGCCCTGACCTATGTCCACTGGAAACAGCATTTAAAAACTCTTCTGTTTTATCAGGTTTTTAAATGGCTTCTAAGTAGCACACCACCAACTTCGCTTTCAGCTATCATAATTGAACACAGGCCACTGTTCAAGAGGCACAGCTGAGAGCCAAGAATTTCCGTCCATTTTTGCAAGTTTTGCATTGTTCCATGTCTTCAGGCATCTTCCTTTGGACAGTTCCGCCCTGCCTGTGCAAGTTTTGCATTAACAAGCTCTATATTTATCATTGACAGTTCAATGAACTTGAGCACCTGCCAGGAAGGGGACGGTGCCTTCGAACCAAACTGGAATAAATGAGTAGGGCGCCATTGGAACAAAATTCAGCATACTCTTTTGCAGGGTGTCATATGAGACAAGCTGGCTATAAAGCCTCTCTGACACAATGCATAGGACGCGGACCCTGACCACAGCTCAGCAGATTACACAATTCCCCTTAATATGATTGGAAATAAAAGTTGTCACTAAAACACAAATTCCCATCCCTCAGATTTTAACAGCTTTTCAAGAGAACAGCAACCAGCAAAACGCTTGTGCCATACACTCGTTTCTCTACAAAAGAAAAAAGAAGACTACCACCAGGCATGGATGATCACAATGTTTACCAACTTTAATAGGTTATTGCCACTAAACACAACAGTGTACAGCCCTTTAGCCTGATCAAGTGCCAACAGCTGAGATTTTGTAGGGTTTTGTCGTTTTTGCCAAGGAGCAATGTGATGGCAAGAGGGAGGGAGGGAGGGAGGGAGGGAGGGAGGGAGGAAGGAAGGAAGGAAGGAAGGAAGGGAAGGGAAGGATAGGAGAGTAGCCTGAGTAGGACAAAGGCATCCTGAGGAAATGAGAAAGGCCCAAGTACAGTTGCCCCACTTTTCACAACTGACAATTTGGCTAGCTTTGCTTTCGAACTTGCTACTATGGCACTGAGGGTCAGAAACTGGTTTTTTCTTTTCTGTGAAAGACACTTTCCACAAATGTTTTGTGATTACTGCCTGACGGCAGCCATGTCTTCTATACTGATGCATCAAGTTCCTGGAAATTATTTCAGCAATACACACAAGCCATTGTGCTTTCACACCTGCTAGACAATGAAAGCATTTTGTCCCCCCCAAGGAAGCAAAAGATGCTCAAAAGAGCTGAGATTTCCAAGCCCACAATGTCAACCATGGACATACCCAATTATTATTATTATTTTTAAACCTCACATGCTTTTCTGCTTTGGAATGGCAGACCTGCTCCCATCAAACCATGCCATATTGCAAATCCCACCCCCACCTCCAGTTTCAAGAGAGCTTTACAATCTCTTGGGGATGTTGTTCCACAAGTTCAATCAGACTCCCTTAGGCATGCAAAACAAGTCGCAGTGTTTTGGATCCTGGACCAGTTATATCCACAGATAGTATATAAAGCAGTCCTCTAAGCAGAGGATGTTGCTGCTTAACCATTCAAACAAGCCATGGTGAGAATTAAACTTTTTTTATTAGTGTATTCACATATTAGGCAAATGCAACACGCATGAAAGCTTATTTCTTAGGTTCACAAGTTCTACCAATACATTAGGCTACTGGTAAAACTACACAAATTGGTAATGGCTTCGCCAATTCTTTTAAAATTGTCTGACCCACTTTGATTGCCCACCCTCAGGCTCGATATTTGGTATTGCTCCTATGCCCTATCTCTTAAGGCATAAAAAAATCCATCATTTATCTTCCGTTCAGTCAGCTGATTGCAAAGCTTAACACTGGCCACGTTTGTTCTCAAAGCTGAAGTTGTCACTAGGTGTACTTACAAAGTACAATACTAGTGCAAATAAACGATTTGGGGTGGGGCGTGGGGGGGGAGGAAAGAAAACAGACAAAAAAAGGCAATCCTGCTACTGCCACAACAACATGAGAATGACAGACGGCTAGATCACAAGATTGTTAGTAAGATGTATACTTTTCAAGTCAGAATAACCCTCCTATACAGTTTCCCAACCCTTACCCAACCCAGACTTATCTGTAGAATATAATTCAAAATATTTCTTAAAGCAAGGTTCAGATGTAGTGTCCAAGGGTTCTCAATAACATGTACTAGGGAATCTTCTCTTTTTATGGCTGGTCGCAACACCCAGCCTAGGGAGTCTGCAGAAGCAGTGACTTCGGCAAGATCCACTCCTTCTGCAATGGATGCTCATTAAGCAAAGCCATACAATTTTGTTCGGACCAGCCTGGTAAACCTTCAAAGAAATGTTAAGTTTTATGTTCAAACCCTTGTGGAAGTTACATTTCACTGTGTGGGAGAGAGGGAAAAACTGGTAGGGCAGCCAGATTAAATCTGATTTAGACTTTTATCTTTAAAAATCTACCAGTGAAGCAGGAGATAATTGATGGTGCGGCTGCTCTCAACCGTTCCTTTCAATCTGCGTATCTGGAGTCCCACTACACCTTAGGAGGGAGAGGAACTGGAGTTTGTTTCTCCGGCATTTTAGCAATGGATTTAAGAGCAACGGAGATGAGACTCTGGGTTGCATCCTGGCAACCTTTTAAACAAACAAACAAACAAACAAACCCCTGCCGAGTGCAAAGGGATAGAGTTCAACTCCTGCATTTCACATACTCATCTCTGCTGTCTGGATAAGGGAAAGTTCGCATAAAGGGTTTCGAGATACAAAAGGACCAGCAACATCTTACAGCTGCTCGCTTGTCACTACTGAAAAATAAGGGTGCTGCTTTGAAAGTACACACTCACCAATCTGAAGGTGGTGAACAAGTCTTTCTTGGGAGAAAAATGTGGATTATTCTGTCAAAAAAACTTATTTTGCAACAGCTGCATGTGCGCATGCGCTGCAGATCTAGAATTTAAGAGATTGCAACACTCCAGGCAAAGGGCTGATGCCGGCAGTTAAGAGATTCCTCGCTTCCACCCAGGTCTGAACCCCTCCGCTCCCTCCTGGATCCCAGCTAAGCATGACCCCAGTAGCATTTGTTAGCCATGGTCAAGGTGAAAAACCATTAGAATATTAATGTTGATTCCATGGTAATTAACCATGGCTAACGGGGCAGGAGGGAGGAGAAGGCAGGGAAGAATAATCCTCCTTGTGACCTCTTAACCCTAGTCAGAAGTCAGAAGACCACACACAGTGGCCTGTTGGTGCATCTCCCAGGAACGACCGCCTGCCATATTTTTGAACTAAGGTGCAAGCTGGACCTCAGGGCCGGCAGCACCCATCGCCGGCAACAGATGCCACTACTTTAGGTGGGCAATGGAAGGATCTATTTTTTAAAGCATGGTTTGGCCCGGGGGAGGTGGGCGTGGGGGCAAGGAGTGAAAGGTTGAACGTGGCACTGCCTATTTCAGGCCCACTAAGCATACTCAACATGCAAGATTTCAAGAGATGGAACCCAAGAATCGCTCCCGCTCCAAAGAGGGGTTTTTAAGGTGACAGCTAGTACACTTGGAAAAGGGGGGGGGGAGAGGAGATTTTCTGCATAAAGTCTGTTATAGGGCAGCGGAAAGCCTGCATATATATTTATATATAAAAATATAAAAAAATATAGAGAAGCAAGAACTTGGGCTTTTTTACGAGATGGCTGCCTAAGTCAAGGAGCTCCGCACATCTATCAATGGGAATTTAAACTCAGGACAGCAGAATGGTGTCAAAATTGGGGGGGGGGGGTCCCATGATACATTAACTGAACCACTCATGTTATTGGTAAACCTTTAGGACACTCAATTTATATATACCCAATAAAAAACACCATTAAAGTATTTAATATGTCCCTCCCTCCTTCGGCAGAAGGCGTTTCTATACACTAACTTTTCATCTAGAGCATCAGAGTATAGGAAACAAAACCCACAAGGTGCTTAGAAACTGATGAGACCCTCAAGTGCTTTTCTGTCTCTCTCTCTCTCTCTCTCTCTCTCTCTCTGAACTTTTTGGATAGGAAACAGTTCATGGAGACCACACACGAGTTACTACGACAGACGAGCTGTTAATATTTAAGTCTGTTGCCTGGACAAGCGCGCTAGTGGAGACGAGGAGCGTTACGACATGCTGGAGCAGCGCACTGAGGGAGAGCCCATCTGAGTCAATACTTTGTCCAGCCACTGTAAAGGCCCGTTCAGGTGAAGCTCGATCCAACAGGGAGTGCTTGTTACCGTCTGCCGCCTGAGGAAGGGAGAAAGAGTTGGGGGTTGAAATACACTGCGAAGCCAGCATACAAGCCAAGGGCTTAGGCAAACTAAGGCCCGGGGGCCGGATCCAGCCCAATCGCCTTCTAAACCAGGCAGAGGGCCTTCTCGGTGGTGGCACCCGCCCTGTGGAACACCCTCCCACCAGATGTCAAAGAGAAGAACAACTACCAGACTTTTAGAAGACATCTGAAGGCAGACCTCTTTAGGGAAGCTTTTAATGTTTAACAGACCACTGTATTTTAATACAGCGGTACCTCAGGTTACATACGCTTCGGGTGACATACACTTCAGGTTGCAGACTCCGCTAACCCAGAAATAGTACCTCGGGTTAAGAACTTTGCTTCAGGATGAGAACAGAAATTGTGCTCCGGCGGCGCGGCGGCAGCAGGAGGCCCCATTAGCTAAAATGGTGCTTCAGGTTAAGAACGGACCTCTGGAACGAATTAATGAACCCGAGGTACCACTGTACTCTGTTGGAAGCCACCCAGAGTAGCTGAGGAAACCCAGCCAGATGGGCAGGGTATAAATAATAAATTCTATTCTATATCTGGCCCGCGGATGGTCTGGGAATCAGCATGTTTTTACATGAGTAGAATGTGTGCTTTTATTTAAAATGCATCTTTATCCCCCCCCCAAAAAAATATAGTTCAGCCCCCCACAAGGTCTGAGGGACAGTGGGCCGGCCCCCTGCTGAAAAAGTTTGCTGACTCCTGGTTAGAGTCCCCGCTCAACAATCAGCTTGCAGGGCCACTTTTAAGACCACAAGGGGCAAAGAGCCAGTGCTTCAACACCCCCCCCCCCAGCTGATCCAATAGCAAGTTCTGTCACCAATTTGGGGCTGGGCGCTATCTGGTTTTCAACACTGTGATATATCAGCAGAATGGTTTTAACTATAGGAAAGGTGGCATACAAATAAAATCAGGGCAATGATTTTATTGATTAAATTTCTATTTCACCCTTCATCTGAAGACGACAATGATGATGATGATACCGATTTCCTTAATTTGTAAAAGGGAACGTCAGGCCTACATTAACATCCCGGCTGCAGGATGGTTCTACCAAGAAGGAGAGGAATGGCACTCTGTACCTGTATTCAGCGCCCCATCCTTTAACAAAACTCATCCTTATGGTGCACATTCGGGTTAGCTGATACACTGCTTCAAAGCCCTGATTTACAGACTGAGCCAAAAGAGCAGCAAATTCCTGGTTATTAAAGATCTTTAGGTTGCAGCCTACAAAAAAAGAAAAACGGTAAAAGGATGAATGATCGGTACCACTACATTACACACGTTTAAGTGATTCAACCCCCCCTACCCAACTTTTTTCAAAACGTATTTTCCTTAGGCATCACAGCAAGGCAAATAAATACATTTCAATACACTGAAATGATGGCTGATCTCTGCTGGTTATACACCTCTTACCTGGCGGGATTTTGCACACGGTTGCAGGATGCCAGCCATATCTCTGATTACAATTGGGGCTCTGAACAAAGATTGCGCTATCGCTTAGGCACTCAGCAAAAACCTCTCCGCCAATGTAATACAGGCGCACTCCCCTCCCTAGAAAAAGAAAAAGAACGTTAAACGAACAGAAGCAGCTAAAATTTGCCAGATCCAACATACTGGCAAATGCAAACAGTCTTGTTTAGCCAATCTCTGGTTACATATTTTCTGGACGCTTGTGCTCTTCCAGTAAGCACCTGCTACTCTGCTGCTTAGTTTTGTTTTACTGCCTGTTGCCCATTCTTCATAGGTAAAGGTAAAGGTACCCCTGCCCGTACGGGCCAGTCTTGACAGACTCTAGGGTTGTGCGCCCATCTCACTCTATAGGCCGGGGGCCAGCACTGTCCGCAGACACTTCCGGGTCACGTGGCCAGCGTGACAAAGCCGCATCTGACGAGCCAGCGCAGCACACGGAAACGCCGTTTACCTTCCCGCTAGTAAGCGGTCCCTATTTATCTACTTGCACCCGGAGGTGCTTTCGAACTGCTAGGTTGGCAGGCACTGGGACCGAGCAACGGGAGCGCACCCCGCTGCGGGGAATCGAACCGCCGACCTTTCGATCGGCAAGCCCTAGGCGCTGAGGCTTTTACCCACAGTGCCACCCGCGTCCCATAGCCCATTCTTCATATATTTTAATATACATATCACTAGCAGATCTGAGGGGCCCCAAGATGCAGCGATATAAACATACCGTTCAATTGACCTACTGTACAAATGACCTACTGTGCTGCCATTACTTAGATGAAGAAATAACAAACGATGTTCGATTTAAAAAGAAGAATGCAATGGAAGGAACTGTTTTTTCAGCAGATCAAGGGAAGAAGGTTAGAGGAAGCAGGAGAGCCGCTGGAATACGTGGAGAGAAGTACATACCTATGTGCCTTCTTGTCATCTCCACAGTGGCGTTTCTATTAACATTGGAGAGCAAGCCTAGGCAGAATCTTTCAGAGTTTGATGGATCCGTAAAGCCATCTACAGTAAGTGAAGGCTGTGACGCATGGAAGGTTTCTCCCACCCTCTGATTTAATTCATAATATGCTATAGAACACCAAAAAGCAGGCTCTGAGTAGGTAACTGGCTGCAGGTCTGGAAGGGAAAGAGGAAGAATTCTTGTGGTTAACATGTATTCATGCTGCACTATCATTTGGCAATAGGAAGCTAGTCAAGGCTATACTCCCCAAATCCTCCTCTAGTTGTGCTCCTTAAACAAGGCTATTCCCTTGGTTGGAGAGTGTTCTCGAAGCTACAAACATGAGTCTGACCAAACTGCGGGAGGCAGTGGAAGACAGGAGTGCCTGGCATCCTCTGGCCGATCGGGTCACGAAGAGTCGGACACGACTAAACGACTAAACAACAAAATTCCCTTGACTTCTGTTAGACGTCTCAAAGAATTCTTAGCTGCACATTGTGTTTGATGCAGTTTCCTTCACTGGCTTAAATAAACATTTAATTGACTATTGTTTGAGCAGAAAAGACATAATATACCATATTTTTCGCTCTGTAAGATGCACCTGACCATAAGGCACACCTAGTTTTTAGAGGGGGAATGCAAGGGGGAAAAAATTCTTTAAAGGGAGCGCTGAGCAGAGCCTGTATGCATCCCAGGCTCTGCTCAGCGCTGCCTTTCACGAGCTGCATGGAGCATGTGTGCGGTGCTTGCAGGCTTTTCCCTGAGGAGTCACTGACGGGCTGCCCTTCTCCCTCCTCGGGGAAAAGCCCCCAAGAGCCACACACACACACTCTGTGCAGCTCTTGGGGGCTTTCGCGGGAGGTGGGAGAAGTGACAGAGCTGCGCGCTCTTCACACTTCCCCCACCTCCCACAAAAGCCATGGATAGCCGCGCGAAGCCTCCGCAGGGCAGCGGGATGAAGGCTCCCCGCTGCCCTGTGGAGGCTTAGCCCACGAAGCCTGCATTCGCTCCATAAGATGCACACACATTCCCCCTTACTTTTTAGGAGGGGGAAAGTGTCTTATAGAGCAAAAAATACAGTACTTTCTTCGAAACCTCTGCATTCTGCATTTCTTCTCTTTCATCTTGTGTGACAGATCCAACAAGCTTAACATATTTTTAATGCTAATTTACAAGTCTCCAAAACTTCTAGTTCTCTTCAAGTTGCCTCAACACACTCTGTGTATGTGTGTATACACGTACACACAAAATTAAAGGCATGTTCTTGTCTGGAATGCTTGATTTTTCCAAATGCTCCACATCCAGAACACCTTGTACTATACAAGACATGCTTCGTGACATACCGTCAACCACCTCTACGTTTGCCATGATCAAAAGAAGGAAGCAATTACATCATGTACTGTGGAACCTAACACAGCAATATTCAAGTTTAAAGGTGCCCAAAACACAGAGTCAATCCTCAGAGAAAATATTACTAGAAGATGCTGAATGAACTAGATATCAGTTCAGCAGTGTCTAGTTTTCAAGAGATTCTAAGGGCAATCTTAATCATAGGTCATAGAACTGCAGGGACCCCAAGGGTCATCTAGTCCAACCCCCTGCAATGCAGGAATCTCAACTAAAGCATCCAAAACAGATGGCCATCCAATCTCTGCTTTAAAATCTCCAAGGAAGGAGAGTGCACTACCTTTCATGGGAGTCTGCTTCACAAACAGCTCTTACAGGACAATATGATATAACTGTAACCACAAAGTATGTCCCTATTATAGATCAACTACCAGCCAAAATCGACTGTCAACAAATATTTCTTTGCTCCTCCTCAAACCATTCCACATTGCCAACTAGGACAAAAAAATAAACCAGGCAATTCTTCCCTTTCCATTTATGCCAAATAGTAATAATAATAATAATAATTTATTATTTATACCCCGCCCATCTGGCTGAGTTTCCCCAGCCACTCTGGGCGGCTCCCAATCAGTGTTAAAAACAGTACAGCGTTACATATTAAAAACTTCCCTGAACAGGGCTGCCTTAAGATGTCTTCTGAATATCAGGTAATTATTTATCTCTTTGACATCTGAAGGGAGGGCGTTCCACAGGGCGGGCGCCACTACCGAGAAGGCCCTCTGTCTGGTTCCCTGTAGCCTCACTTCTCGCAGTGAGGGAACCGCCAGAAGGCCCTCGGCGCTGGATCTCAGTGTCCGGGCTGAATGATGGGGGTGGAGACGCTCCTTCAGGTATACAGGACCGAGGCCGTTTAGTCTGCCTGACTATTTCTATTAAAAAGTGGCAGACTACTGCACAGTCCAGTAACCTCTTACAAAGGTTGCAGTAACAGAACAATATGCTTTTTTAAAAAAATAACACCCCAGAGATACAGAAAGGGATTTTATTTGCGGGGGGGGGGGGGTGTCAATGTAGCAGAGTGGCCAATGTAGCAGAGTGGCCAAGTAACCAAGCCATGAACAACAAAAGCCCTGGGTCAAATCTCCCCCCAACTTTGCTCACCCCATCAGAAAAGGCCCTCTAAGCCTCAGCTTTCCCATATAGGATACAGCTGACATTACAAATCTACCTTGGAGGACTTATCAAAAGGACTGCCGAGGAAGAGTACAAAACAGCTACAACACTAAAAAAGCACTATTCCAATGCTTTGAATATTGTAGTTACTTTAGCCTGCAAGTATATGACCAGAAGATATTCCATATATTGCTTATTTAGGCATAGCACATTACCCAGTGTGTCTACTCAGCAGGCCACCTGCACAACATTGTTCAAGCATAGAACACACCTTGATTAAAACACACAAGACAGAAATTAAACCATAGGTGCCCATACTTAAAACATGACACAGGAGAGGTGCTTAAAAGAAAATTAAAAAGAGACTATCCCTGCTAATCCCTGCATCTCAATAAACCACTTCTCCCCATACTCCACAAGTTAATTCCACCTGCAATGGATTCTAATATAATCAACCAAATGCAAGCACATTTACCTCATTTATTATAGAGAAGTGTTTACAACTTACCCAGGCTGTGATTGACAGGAGAGAGTGTACTGGGAGACAGCTCTGCTGGAGATCCTGAGGAATTAATACAAAAAAATGCTAGTTCACAACAAAAAAATCACTTTAGTAATCCCATTTGGAGGCTGTGCCAGCAGCAGTTTTGAGGTCCTGGGACCCGTTTTCACTAGCACAATCCCATGTTAGATTGACTCTGAATATGCTACAATATTGCTACTGTTCAGCAAAAGTATATTTTGGAAAGTGAGCCAAAGGCAAGCTTTTTTCTAACTTAACAAATGCCAGTAACCTCATGCCATATGCACAGCAAATATTGTCCCTGTCTTACAAAGACTGAGAAATACCCATGTTTGCAGCCTGGGACGGGGCGTCTGCCATAACTGAAGGCAAGCAGAAACTGAACGGTTTCCTCGGCTAACTTCGGTTGGCTTACTACTTAAGCCTACCCCTATCAGGAGTAGCAAAACAAAACAAAAACCCAAGGTTATGGGATCAGGGTGGGGGGACGGGCACACACAAAAAACCCCCATACACATAACACCATCAAACAAGCTGATAACCTGTGCTTTCGCCACTACATGATTGCTCCGCAAAGAAAAAGACAAAACTTTGCAAGGTTAGTCCTACGACAAGCACTGCTCTTTGATCTGCACACAATACAATTCATGCCTCTTGACACATTTCAAGACTTCCCAAGCAATGACCCACATTCAGCGCAGAGTATCTTTACAGGCATTTATCTCCACAACACTTCAACCTCTCACCAACCACAGCGTCCCCATTTTGACCCTGGGCACTGAAGGCCACGTTGCCCCTTGCTTACATGAAATAACTCAGGCAGAGTACAGTGGTACCCCGCAAGACGAACGCCTCGCGAGACGAAAAACTCGCAAAACGAAAGGTTTTTTCGTTTTCGAGTTGCCTCGCAAGACGAATTTCCCTATGGGCTTGCTTCGCAAAACGAAGCTTGCCCCGGGGACAGCGGGTCTTCTCTTTTGAAGCAAGGGGCGGCGGGGAGATCGCTTCTCCCCACCGCCCCTTGCTTCAAAAGAGGTCTGCCCCCGGACCTCTTTTGAAGCAAGGGGCTGCGGGGAGATCGCTTCTCCCGGTGCTCCGAAGCGGGGTGGGGGGGCGGGAACACCTGCCCCAGCCGCCGGGCTTTGTAGCGCTGCTGCGAAGCCGGGCGGGGGGCGAGAACACCTGCCCCAGCCACCCCGCTTCGGAACGCTGCTCCGAAGCGGGGTGGGGGGGGCGGGAACACCTGCCCCAGCCGCCGGGCTTCGTAGCGCTGCTCCGAAGCGGGGTGGGGGGGCGGGAACACCTGCCCCAGCTGCCGGGCTTCGTAGCGCTGCTGCGAAGCCGGGCGGGGGGCGGGAACACCTGCCCCAGCCACCCCACTTCGGAACGCTGCTCCAAAGCGGGGTGGGGGGGGCGGGAACACCTGCCCCAGCCGCCGGGCTTCGTAGCGCTGCTGCGAAGCCGGGCGGGGGGCGGGAACACCTGCCCCAGCCACCCCGCTTCGGAACGCTGCTCCAAAGCGGGGTAGGGGGGCGGGAACACCTGCCCCAGCCGCCGGGCTTCGAACACCTGCCCCAGCCACCCCGCTTCGGAACGCTGCTCCGAAGCGGGGGGGGGCGGGAACACCTGCCCCAGCCGCCGGGCTTCGTAGCGCTGCTGCAAAGCCGGGCGGGGGCGGGAACACCTGCCCCAGCCACCCCGCTTCGGAACGCTGCTCCGAAGCGGGGTGGGGGGGCGGGAACACCTGCCCCAGCCGCCGGGCTTCGTAGCGCTGCTGCAAAGCCGGGCGGGGGGCGGGAACACCTGCCCCAGCCACCCCGCTTCGGAACGCTGCTCCGAAGCGGGGTGGGGTGGGGGCGGGAACACCTGCCCCAGCCGCCGGGCTTCGTAGCGCTGCTGCAAAGCCGGGCGGGGGCGGGAACACCTGCCCCAGCCACCCCGCTTCGGAACGCTGCTCCGAAGCAGGGTGGGGGGGCGGGAACACCTGCCCCAGCCGCCGGGCTTCGTAGCGCTGCTGCGAAGCCGGGCGGGGGGCGGGAACACCTGCCCCAGCCACCCCGCTTCGGAACGCTGCTCCGAAGCGGGCGGGGGCGGGAACACCTGCCCCAGCCACCCCGCTTCGGAACGCTGCTCCGAAGCGGGTGGGGGGGCGGGAACACCTGCCCCAGCCGCCGGGCTTCGTAGCGCTGCTGCAAAGCCGGGCGGGGGGCGGGAACACCTGCCCCAGCCACCCCGCTTCGGAACGCTGCTCCGAAGCGGGGTGGGGGGGGGCGGGAACACCTGCCCCAGCCGCCGGGCTTCGTAGCGCTGCTGCGAAGCCGGGCGGGGGGCAGGAACACCTGCCCCAGCCACCCCGCTTCGGAACGCTGCTCCGAAGCGGGTGGGGGGGGCGGGAACACCTGCCCCAGCCGCCGGGCTTCGTAGCGCTGCTGCAAAGCCGGGCGGGGGCGGGAACACCTGCCCCAGCCACCCCGCTTCGGAACGCTGCTCCGAAGCGGGGTGGGGGGGCGGGAAAACCTGCCCCAGCCGCCGGGCTTCGTAGCGCTGCTGCGAAGCCGGGCGGGGGGCGGGAACACCTGCCCCAGCCACCCCGCTTCGGAACGCTGCTCCGAAGCGGAGTGGGGGGGCGGGAACACCTGCCCCAGCCGCCGGGCTTCGTAGCGCTGCTGCAAAGCCGGGCGGGGGGCGGGAACACCTGCCCCAGCCACCCCGCTTCGGAACGCTGCTCCGAAGCAGGGTGGGGGGCGGGAACACCTGCCCCAGCCGCCGGGCTTCGTAGCGCTGCTGCGAAGCCGGGCGGGGGGCGGGAACACCTGCCCCAGCCACCCCGCTTCGGAACGCTGCTCCGAAGCGGGGTGGGGGGGGCGGGAACACCTGCCCTAGCCGCCGGGCTTCGTAGCGCTGCTGCGAAGCCGGGTGGGGGGCGGGAACACCTGCCCCAGCCGCCGGGCTTCGTAGCGCTGCTGCGAAGCCGGGCGGGGGGGGGGGGGCGGGAACACCTTCTGAAGGCGGGCGGGGGGCGAAAGTCTTTGTCCCCCCTGCCTGCCTTCCCAGGGGCTTTTAAATCGCCCCGGACAGCGGAGAAGTCCTCCGCTGTCCCGGGGCGATTTTAAAATGCCGTCCGCCAGCATTTTAAGATCGCCCGGACAGCGGAGAAGTCCTCCGCTGTCCCAGGGTTTTTTAAAATGCTGGGGGTGGGAAGAAAAGCCCTTGTCCCCCCCCCCAGCCTTCAGAAGAGGTCCGGGGACAGTCTGTCCCCGGACCTGGTCTGAAGGCGGTTTCCCTAGGAACGCATTAATTGATTTTCAATGCATTCCTATGGGAAACCGTGCATCGCAAGACGAAAAAACCGCAAGACGAAGAGACTTGCGGAACGAATTAATTTCGTCTTGCGAGGCACCACTGTACAGTATTCAGAGGATTTGGACTAAACTCAAATGGCTGCCTGGCCACTTGCAGAAACTAAAGGTCTGGTTTAGACACAACAACTGCTTGTTGGACTAGGGCTCGTTCACAGTTTAAAACGGATAGCCCTTCTTTTTTGCTGCATCCAAACTTGGCAAAGTGGAGCTCACTCAAACTACAGCCTGTTAACAAATTGGGGTATCAAAAACCAGGCTTGTTTCTAGTTTGTACTTGTAACAACCGGGGGTTTTTATATCAGAGCTGGGCCCCAAGACCTGCCTCTTTCCTGCTGTGAAGAGGTGTGCAGCTGCCTCACTCCCTTCCTTTCTTAATAGAGCTACTGGTTCTATAGTAAGGAGGGAGACCAAGGTAGAATCATAGAATCATAGATTTGGAATAGACCACAAGGGCCATCGAGTCCAACCCCCTGCCAAGCAGGAAACACCATCAGAGCACTCCTGACATATGGTTGTCAAGCCTCTGCTTAAAGACCTCCAAAGAAGGAGACCCCACCACACTCCTTGGCAGCAAATTCCACTGTCGAACAGCTCTTACTGTCAGGAAGTTCTTCCTAATGTTTAGGTGGAATCTTCTTTCTTGTAGTTTGGATCCATTGCTCCATGTCCGCTTCTCTGGAGCAGCAGAAAACAACCTTTCTCCCTCCTCTATATGACATCCTTTTATATATTTGAACATGGCTATCATATCACCCCTTAACCTCCTCTTCTCCAGGCTAAACATGCCCAGCTCCCTTAGCCGTTCCTCATAAGGCATCATTTCCAGGCCTTTGACCATTTTGGTTGCCCTCCTCTGGACACGTTCCAGTTTGTCAGGTAGCCTGCACATGTTACATCAATCCCACTTCTTGACTTCAAGCATACCTTGAGGCTGAAAAGAGGCAGTGCGGTGTGGTAAACCTCCTTTACCAACCACAGTTACTGCAAAAGCTTCACACCTTTAGGGGGAAAGGGATCTTGAGACACGGATCCATGCTTTTGTAACCTCAACTAACTACTACAAGGGGCACAACTCAAGACAACCCATGAAGGCAACTTGGAAGCTGCAGCTAGTGCGAAATGTACCTATCAGCTGATACAATTGGAAGTGGAGTCATATTCCAAGGGGTGAACCTGGAGTCAGCCTGAATTAAGGCTGAACCCCATGTTGAGACACAATTAGATTTCATTTTGTTAATGTAAGCCACCTTGAACTGTGGAAAGGGGGCACAGAAATGTTTTAATAAATCTTCATTGGTACAAAGGGAGCTTTGCTAAGCCCCCTTACATATTTGAAGTCTTCAGTAAGAATTAAGACCGTTACCTGTATCCATGCTTTGGTTCAACTGCTGGTCACTGGTTTCTCCATCTTCGCTGATATAGCCGGGCGGTGGTGTTTCTACCAAAAGTACAATCAATGAGCCATTAAATGAAAGGGTTCTCTCAGTGTCATGTACAACCTGCACAAATTAAACCTTTTGAAATTTGCAGAATTAAAGAGTGCACACAGCCTTTATTTTTATAAATTGCAGGGGATCTCATTACGCCACTGTCTATGTTATGTGAGTAAAGAGGAACAAAACCCACCAGCCACCTGCCATTTACCCTGCTCTCTACACTACATGCCCCTCTACACTGTGGATGGATGGATGGATTTCTAGCAGAGTTGATTGAAAAAGAGGCCCCGCAGTGTGCACCACAAATGGGGCTAGATTATAACCAGTCCGAAGCAAGCCAAATACCAGCTGACATGCCAATGGGCTCTAGTCTTCCAGGGAGAAAACAAAAACACCTCTCATCTTCCCTCCTCCCTTGGGGAACACGTACTGTAGAACATGAAGTACCGTATTTTTCGCCACATAGGGCGCACCTAGTTTGTTTTTTTTGGGGGGGGGGGTTAAAAGAAAGAAAAATGTATTTCCCCCCCAGGCGCGGGGCGGGGGAAGCCCGAGCTTCCCCCGACCCCAGTACCCAGAACAGGCTGCTATCCGCAAGCCGTGGGAGAGCCGCGCGAAGCTCGAAGCCTGGGGGCGCTGAGCTCAGTGCGCCCCAGGGTTCGGGGTGCAGGCAGCTCTCCGCAAGCCGTGGGAGAGCTGCATGACTTCGTGCAGCTCTCCCACGGCATGCGGAGAGCCGCACGAAGCCCAAAGCCTGGGGGCGCTGAGCTCAGCGCGCCCTAGGGTTCGGTGTGCAGGCTGCTATCCGCAAGAGGTGGCAGAGCTGCGTGACTTTGCACAGCTCTCCCATGGCTTGCAGAGAGCCGCGCAAAGCTCAAAGCCTGGGGGCGCTGAGCTCAGCGCGCCCCAGGGTTCGGGGTGCAGGCAGCTCTCCCACGGCTTGCGGAAAGCTGCCTGGAGAGCGAGAGGGGTCATGTGCGCACCGACCCCGCTCGCTCTCCAGGCTTCAGCGAAAGCCCGCATTCGCCCCATAGGACACACACACATTTCCCCTTCATTTTTGGAGGGGGGGAAAGTGCGTCCTACAGGGCGAAAAATAAGGTATATGACAGCCTACATCGCTTAAAAAAATAAAAAAGATGTTAAGAAAAATGAATCAATGTGTATTCATACACATACAGGATCTGTTTCCATAGTGTAGATCCTATCTGCCTGCCACAAAACTGCAGATGGCTTATACGTAAAATGTAAGAGAACAGAACAATCACAAAGCCAAATCAATGTAGGGCATGGGTAGGCAAACTAAGGCCCAGGGGCCAGATCCAGCCCAATCGCCTTCTAAATCCAGCCCACAGAAGCTCCAGGAATCAGCGTGTTTTTACATGAGTAGAATGTGTCCTTTTATTTAAAATGCATCTTTGGGTTATTAGTGGGGCATAGGAATTCGTTCATTTTTTTCCCCCAAAATATAGTCCGGCCCCCGACAAGGTCTGCGGACAGTGGACTGGCCCCCTGCAGAAAAAGTTTGCTGACCCCTGATGTAGGGGAACAAATTGTGGCTAAACAGGGTTAGAGGCACATCAGAAGTTACATGGATTAAAGCCTGGAAAAAGAAGACGCAACACTTTACAAATCTTCAGGAAGAGGATTCCGATGTGTCTCTAGGCAGACAATGCTGGGCCAGAGCTCTCTGACATCCCATAGCCAAGAGAGCAAGCAGGGGTCAATCTGCATATCTTAAAGGACAAGAGGGCTTCTATGTAAGAAGTACTCTCAAAGATATCCTGGACTCAGCCTATACAGATTGCAACATATAAAGCGACTTTGAATTAGGCTTTGAAGAACAGAACAAGGAAGCAGAATTTAGTACATGTTTACTGCCTACACATTAAAATTTACTAGAAGCCCGAGTGGACTGTGCCTCTTATCCCAAATCCAGGATGTCAGCAGATGATCAAATGTCAAGACCATTCCCAACAATCCATTGATACCAAACTCAATTGTGAGTTGGGCAGGTTATCAATCCTGATAAAGATTCTGTTGAAAGCTGAACAGGCTTCTAAAGGGTCAGAGAAGCTACCACCAGCACAGCCGCTGCAAAGAAACTCAAATCCTGGGGTGCCCTACCCTCCTCCCTGCATTATTTGCTTTTTTTCTTTGGTTGCTGTACTTGAAATTAGTCCTTCAGGTGGCAGGAGGCCACTTGTCGCGCCATTTGCTTTCACATAAATACCTGGTATGTAATTGCTCTGTGGTTCAATTCCTGCTGGAAAGTTAGTGTTTTCGGGAATGGAATGAGTATAGTCATCAAGTTGTGGAAGTTCAGTCAGGATCTCTGTATGTCGTGGTACGAGGACAGGAGGCAGAACTGGGAGAGGAGAAACAAATTCCCAAAAAATGTTAAGAGACTGCCTAGATTTCCTATAGCTTTGCTAGATTAGTGCAGACACTAAATTGCATCAATCCTATCTGTGGGACTAACAGTGCAGTTCTATGGATGTTTACTTGGAAATAACTCCCATTTTGGGACTTACTTCAACAGACAACCACAGAATTGCACAGCTACTGACCTGGGTAAATAGGTCTTCCTGAAAGGTAAGCATGCACAGGATTGCAGCCTCAGTATGTTAGGTAATATCATTTTCAATCAGTTATAATGATCAGTTTTGTTTTAAGAAAAAAAAATACAAGATAAATATTAGGTAGGAGAGAAGTCACAAGTATCCAGTATGGACAACATGCCAAGTGCTATCTCCCCTGGAATCAAGCAGGATGTATTGATTTTTTAATTCATTTTATTTAATAAATTTTATGAGCAACTTTTGAAAACAAAACATAGTTAAAACCATGCTCAAGGTGGTTTACAACATGAAAAAACATAATTACAAAGATAACAAAAGTAGTCATAAACAATAAACATTTAAAAAAATATCACAACCCAATTAAACACTTTTGACATAAATTGTGGTAAGCTCTAAAATAAGGGAACAAAAATTAGTATCAAAAAAAGAAACAACCCGGCTCACCCGCCAGCAAACAATACCCCAACCCAAAAGGCTGTTCAGCAGCCTCAGCTTTTGTAGCTGGAGTCAATCAGGGCCCGATCCTTCCAGGCCAGGTGGGAAAGGCCTGCAAAAAGCCATTTCCTTAAATAAAAAAAGACCTGGGTTCAGATCCCCTATTCATTCAGGAAGCTCCTTGGGTGGTGACCTCCAAGCCACTGCATTCTGCACCAGCTAAAGCTTCCAATCTTCAAAATGTAGCCCAAGGCAGAGGAGACTCCAGCTTTCCAGACTGGATTTAAGCTGCACTGTATCTAGATAGGCTTATTGCTAGCTGCGACCCTAGGTTGATAAAAGACACTACTAGTCAACAACGAATGTGACGCCACCCCCCAAACTATGAACCTGACCTTTCAGAGAGAATGCAACCCTACCCACAACAGATATACGAAGGGTCTTTGGCTCAGCCTTCATTTCTTGGCTCTCTGTTCCCTAGGTGCTTTCTCAAGCAGAAAAGTTTAAGACGGACAGTGACATTTATTTCCCCTTCCTCTATGGAGTTTTGGATATCATGGGCATTCCCTGTTTTTAGTCATAACCACTTTGTGAAGCAGGTTTAAGGCTGGAAGACAGAGGCTGGCCCAAGGCCAACCAATGAGTTTTACAGTCAACATCTGAACCCTGGTTTTTCTGGCTTTGTCCAACATTCTGTTACAGAACATAAATCCAACTAGGACAACCAGGGTGCAAATCCCAACTGAGCAACAAAGGTCACTGGGCTGCCTTGAGCCAGACTTATTTCCCAGCATACGGCTGGGTTGTGAAGATAAAGCAGGAGTGGAGACGCAACATTCTAAGCTCCCTGTACAAATGCCAGTAAAAAAATTAAATGCATGCACCTCTTTTTGCTACTGATGCTTGAACTTTTACTGGCGGAAGCCACAAGGGAGACGCACTCCAGCTAGTAGCTGCTCACCTATGGAGTCCACTCCCCAGAAACGAAAAAAAGGCTGAGCATACAAGTCAGCTTAGTGGCTATGACTAAAAAAAGTAGGTGGGGGAGCCTTTAAGCTGTATGTGCATTTATTGAACTTATGTTAAAAAGTACTGTGTTTTGCTCCCAGTCTCTGCAACTGAGAACAAATAGTTTTGAAAGAGACGCTCTGCTGCCCTAGCTGCAAGCATTTTTGTTAACATTTTGCAATTCCAAACTATCCTGGGAGGCGCCAAACACATGCATTCAATACAACAACAATGCCTTTCAACATTTAAGCACCATTGTCCGATTAAATTTTGGATTAGCTCTCACTCCAGCTCTTGGAATTCCAAAACAATAACATGGACTCCTTTCACTTCAGCTTTGCACACATTGTTAGTGAGATTCTTAGTAAAAGAAGCCAGGGCAGCAGACACCGATACGCCAAGAGCAGCTTGCCATCTTCCTACCTGGAGTCTCCACTCTCTGGTAATGGTAAGGGTTTACGCATACTTCGTCCTTTTTAAGATTAAAAGCATATTCACAGTTTTCAATTGCCTTAAGTTCATGGTGACTGTGAAGGTCAGGCCAGCGCCACAAACGGCAGTAAATAACATGTGGCAATCCTTTACGGTGGGATACTTGCAGGCGGCCATCAAGAGACCTAAAGGGAGGAAAAGTATTCCAGAACATTTAGGGAAGTTCTCAGGAAGCACATATAAGCCAAGATATTCCGTATCATTAGGCATATACAGCACCTCTCATTGCCACCACCCCTTTAAACCAGAGAGCCAACAAAAGACATTTATGATGTTCTCAAGTAAAAGGTAGTGTTATCGTTAAAGCATACACTACTATTATTGGCACTTGAAATCAAGGAGTCCTTGGGGGACAGGGTGCGCTGGTGAAAACGACTGCACATCTAAGCAAACAGTACATTACACCTAAGCCTGCTCACCATGAATACTATGCTACACTTTAGTTGACGCTGCTCCTTGCTTTAAGCACATCTCTGTCATACAAGATTGCGCGTAAGGTTACAGCAGTCAGATCTCCAAGCAATCCACATCACTTCCCAACCTGAAGCTTGCATTCGGCATACACTGGGCTTGCTTGTGGTTTCACGGTCGGTTCCTCGCACCCCTTGCTGCTACCAGTTGAAAAGGTTTGCTAGTTTTAAGATAGATAGACTGCCTAGGCCTACACAAATGCAGATGGTTTATGACTCATGGGATGGGAAAGACAAACCTCAGTACACAATGCGAGTAAGGGTGACATGGAAAAAAAACCATCAAAAACCTAAACAAGCTGCTCACTCCCCAAGTTGTGTCCCACACCTTCCGTAAGTCTCTGAATGCACATACCTGATCAGCTAACCCCACACCCCGCCAAAAAAACCCCCCAGTGTGCAATCTGTTTTAAACACACACGCACACTTGCCCCCAATTCTTATTAAACAAATACAGACCATATGGTTGCACCCCCCACCCCACCCCAACTTTTCCCCTTTTCAGAACGGCACTGACGTGGAGAGAGGTTTTTTTTCTTTTCCAAAATTAGAATTTCATTGGTTAAAACATCAGCTGAGAACACTTAAGGCAAAATCAGTTTTGTTTTTTTAAAAAAATGCTTTGCTGACTAGGAAGCATTTCCACTAGACAAGACCCTTGAAAGCCAACCCTCCCACAAGATCTCTACAATGAGACACAGGGCAGAATATTCACCTGGTTTGTTCAGAGAAGCTGTATAGGCCTGTGGTATCCCACTGATCTATCGTGTTTGGTGTACTCAGTCCCCAAATTTCAGAGCAAGTGCTGTGTATAAAATTGAAAAAAAACAAAAACAAAAAAGTTGATGTGAATATGGAAGCATGGTTATTCAAACTACCATGATGTAAAGACATGGGGGGAATGTACAGAAAGCTTCCTTTCACATAGAAGATGCAGCTTTTCTTAAGCCTCAAACGCTGTATATTCTATATGAAGAAGGCCAATAAAATGGAACATGTGATTCAAGGTAAAATGATGTTTCCAAAAAGGTGAACAAGTTCGCTGGGTTTAAGCAAACAGCATACTTTGAATATACCTTAAAACAGGCAAAACCTCCTCAACGTGGCAGTACACAATAGTATCTTCTATCTTTAGGGAGTATATTTGCAAGCATATGAAAAGTCACAGACTAAGCCATGTCAGTATGATGGTAGATTTCCACAAGTTGTTAACACAGCAATCAGGAACCACAAGAGCGATGTAGATCTATGACTAGCTTGAGTGTGCAGGCTTTTTTTTCTGTGTAGTGGAAAGGCCTTATGACAATCCTCTCCCATTTTCTTCAGTGCCATATAAGAAAAAGGATACGTCCAATGTTATGCTGTTCCAAAGTACACATTTATGCAGGCTGAAATCCAACAGGAGAAGTTCAAACAGCTCAACTTAAGGTACAAGAAATGCCATTTATTAACTCAAAAAACCTTTAAGTTGCCAAACGAAGATGGCAGTCATTTCACAAAAGACAAAGATTTAATGGATGTCCCAGCAACCAACGTCATCAATATGGGTACAATATTACAACAAACCTGATTTATACCTGTGACAGAATGCCTACATGGAATATCACTGACTATTTTTTCTATACCGTTTTGTATTCTTTAGGAACCAGCCGCTGCACTTTGCTTTCCACCTCCTCGAAGAGTTCTCAGTTATGCACCTTACTCTCTGGCAATAATGCCCTATTTCTGGATGGCCAAATGTCACAAGTCAAAAGAAGCAAGCCAATTTACATGCTTAGTGGTATGAACTTCGTTTGCTTAGAATTTTCTTCACTCTAGCGGTTACCCAACAGTGACTGGTCAACACATCCCTTTTTTTATTTCCTCAATTCACTTTCCAAGTACAATGAATAAATAAATAGCCTCTTTGAATATATTTGAGTCACCCCTTAACTGGGGGTTCTCTGGGTGACACAGTTTAAATGGATACACAGTCATAAAACATAATTATGGCACAGCACTGAAATCCATCAGAACCACAACGCAGGAGACTTAACACACCTCTTCGCTGTCATGTAACACAGCAATCTTGACAGCAGATACTCAATATCAATAAAAGATGCTAGCACTATATTAAACTGACTTTTTTGTAAACTAGAGGGTTTGTTTTAACCATCAAGCTGCCTATTAATTTTGCTAAATAAATAAATAACCAATTAAAACACTAAAAACCTTTAGTGAATAAAAGGACTTGTCTAGCACCCAAAAGACATTAAGCCAGGCAAGCCTTTCTAAGGAGTGTGTTCCAAAACTGAGAGGTGGGAGGGCACTGCTGAGAAAGCCTTCTCTGTAGCTTTCTACACTTCAGAATCAGGAAGAACTTGGAGCAGTGCCTCTGTAGATGTTGGAGGTCAGGTAGAGATTTATGAAATAAGGTGGTCCTTTGGGTATTGAGGTTCTAAGCCCACATGTATGTGTGCTATATAACACTAGCCCGATTTGCTAATGTCAGTCTTCTGTAGCTGAAATGCAGAAGAAGAATGAAAAGCTTCCACAATTCTTTCCTAACTGGAATTCCTGATGCGATTCTGACCAGTAAGTGGTTATTTGTAGTCTTCAAAATATACAAATTTCTTGAAAATATCAAGTCCATTTCTGGTCTTACTTCCCATCACACCCCAATGTCTTAGAGAGACTTCAATTAGGAAACAGAGCCAATTCCCACGCATGGTTTTTCTTCCAGCCACCACTGCATGTGAAAAGATAACTCAGTACTCAACCTATGAAGGTTTTGCAGCAACGATCTATCAACTGGAAACTGCTCCTGCTCATAAATTGTAATCGCACAAGTGTTATGGATGTTTCGTCTGAGGTTTTCCGCATGTGTGCAACAGATATAAATAACCCTGATCAACACTCATTTATTGCAAATTAAAGATATCCCAAGTGGTTCAGAACAATTAACCATAGTTGAGGAACCAGGACTTGGCCACAGATGATTGCATATTCCCCCATGGAAGTTCCCACCAAGTGCTTCTTGGTGCTATTCATATACCATTCACAAACTGAATAAAAAGAAGTGTTAAAACTCCAATGAAGAACCTGTTAAAGGAGGGAAGGGAAAATTGATACAGCCAAGTAGCCCAAGCAGCAGCTGCCGCCCCTCAATTCCTAAATTATGGTTGAATTCTAGATGGCATTGGCTCACCCTAGTATTGACAGCAGCCACAAATGACCTTTTAAAATATAGAAAATATTTTAGCTGCTATCACTAGGACCTATAGATGTTGAATTCACCAGATTCCAAGGAGGTCCCACAAAACAGTCCCGTGTGTGTGTGTGGTTTTGTCTGTTGCTCACATGCCAATCTACACCCTTGAAGTCCCAGGGTGTGGGCTGAAGGCCCATGAAAAAACCAATTTGTTGAAGCTAAGCAATTCTGGATTTAGTGCCTGGATATGCACTGGTTCCGTGACAAAAGAAAGGAATAATATAGATGTAAGAAAATTAAAGATTTAAGCATAGCGCTTGACTCCAACCTCACTGAAGCCCCCTGGAAATAAAATGAGGCTGTCGCGCTTTATTCCTGCATTTCATTCATTTTCTGTATTTCATTAAGTTAACTTTCTGGGAAAGTTTTGTACGCAGACCACAAGGACACTTCTGAAAAACAGTCTCTGAAGTGTCTCAAGCCCACAAGACCATTTTCTCCCTTTGGAAGAAGCTTCCAAAGCAGCTTTTCGTTTGGCACGCACAGTTTTAGAGGAATGGTTTTGGAAATTAGTACCTGCTAAGGTTGACCAGAACTTCCTGTTGACTCGCTAAGTTTTTAGAAAGCCCCTCACCCAGTTAAAAGAAAACTGAGCAAAGGTTCCGGATGCCAGAAATCACTATATGTTTTTGCTATTCTGACGCTACCTGGCTAACTGAAAATTTAAAGTTCAAGTAATACAAACTCATTGCCAAAACAACAACTTAGCCCAAACATTTGTGTTTTGTAAGTATTTACTAAAAGCTCTAATAAGGCTATTTATGCTGGTACCCTGAATCAGAAATACTATTTTAGAAAAGACAATACATATTCCCCGAGAGTGGGCTGATTTTGAAAAGCTTGTTTATACGTACATCCCTACTATGGCAGGTCCAAATATGTAATCTAATATGGGAGGGTCCTATATGTGCACTCTTTGTGAGTAAGGCTTTAATAGCCAGTTATCTCTGCTTCAAATGGTTTCCAGAATCTCCTGACTCCACTGCGTTGGGAGGAAGACGAAAGTTGAGCGGTCAAAGGCAGTGTTTCTTTCTACCATAAAACTTTGGGGAAAATGTCTCAGGAAACGAAACACAAATTCAGTTGCGATTCTTTGCTTCAGATTCTAGTATGAGCACACAAAGGCCCTGATGATGGAGAATGACACATGTTTCAGTTCTACCCATAACGCTTGGAAAGCAAAGCTGGAAGGTCTATTACATATATATCTGGGGTCACTAGACAGAATGGGTTAACTCCCAGAGCAGTAACTGTGGGAAATGTTTAAGCATCGGAGGAAGAAGAGCAAAAATGAGGGCACTCCTTTAAACATCAAAGGATCATTACGACCTTCCACGCGTGTCATATGAATTTGAGAATGCTAATTATAAGGAGCTGTTTTCAAGAGCCTGCAGTAAATGGAAACTACTTTTAAAATTCACTGCTCTTGAAGCATTGACAGAGCTGCCACGAAGCAAATCCTTCAACAGTGATTGCCTTAGCAAGTTTCTTAGGAGTGTACAGAGGTTGATAATAAGGTGCACAACGAAAGATGTGCAGACGAAAGATGTATTTAAGCAGAATTTGACAAGCTGCAATGATGAGCATCAGATTGTGCGCTACAGTTTTTCACATTTGCCTCCTTTCAGATATGCAACGCAACTCTCGGAAACCGCCAGATAAAGTTTGGGCTGTTGCTACTGCCTGGTTAGAACTACCCTCCTTTCCTGCTGGTGAAGAACAGGAAGTGCTAAGCATTACTTTAGGTCCAACTAAGAATTCACTGTTCTAGGAGCCTCAGTCATCACTTCCCAGAAAACCAAGGGAGATTTGCATGGGGAGAACAAGCAGGATGTGTGCTTAACCCTTCTCACACAATTTTTCTCCACTTGGTGTGGCAAATGTGAAGCAGCTGTGGGATTGCAGAGGCAAGCATCTTTTTTCCTTGCTGTACACTGAAGCAGCAATAACAGGCTTCCAGAACCTGTGTTCCGCAGGAAACCGCAGACCTAAAACAAAAGATAGGAACAGAAGTGTATGCATCCCTCCCTATCTTAGCCCAAGCAGGTCCTGTGGCATTTCAAGACTAACATTTACTGTAGAATGAGCCACAACGAGAACGAGACTGGAAGTCTTGTGTGGTCTCCTTTATTAGAATTCTCATAGTCTACCAATGTGTTTCACATTTACAACCCTGAGCGTGCATACTCAGGATTTATTAATTAAGACATAACTCATCTATGTTAAGTGACCTTCAGTAAGCGCTCTTGTTCAGCGATAATTACTTCTGCACGATCAGACCTAAGCCCACTTAGTCCAGCATTCATAGAATTGTAGAGTTGGAAGGGATCCCGAGGATCATCTAGTCCAACCCTCTGCAATGCAGGAATATGTAGTTGTCATATGGGGATTGAACCTGCAACCCTGGTTATCAGCACCACACTCTAACCAACTGAGCTATCCAGGCATTCTTTGTAAGGATGCCATCACTAAGCCAAAACTGGCCAGTAGTCCAAGATTAGGTTACAAGGCACCTTCTGTCCACCAATGGACAAAAGTCTACTTCATCATATGAA